TGGTGCCATGGGCAGTACACATACCATGAACAATTTGTTTAGCATTCAAGCCGGGGAGGGATTGACTGGGCACCAATAAACGGTTTGCCCCTGATCACTTAGCAGTAATTTGGGATCTGGTTGTAAACCAATTGGCAGGTCATGATCCAGGGGGAAACTAAGGGTAAGGCTTGACAGTAGGGGGGGCACAGTATGTGACAGGGGCCATTGCAGCATGTATCATAATCAATCCAGTCAGTTTGACCATACACCCACCCCATCAAGAAATCCTTCTCACCCAAAAACCCATATAAAACTTAGCCTACCCACCCCAAAAACACCAAGAATATCATAAAATTCTGCCCATCCACTCAGAATTTAGAGAAGAATTCATAACAGTCTTGAGACCCCATATATATATACACCTGAATTGAGATGTTTTCTTTTATTTATTAAACCTGTATTGTGATATATTTTAGGACATATAATTAATATCTTGTTAATGAGGATACATCAGGACATCCAACCAATTGATATAAATTCCATTTGGCATGAGCTGGTTGGACAACAGAACAGTGTATGTATGTATATATGTATGTGCATGCATGTACTGTACACTATAATACACACTCGCCATCTCTCAGTCTGATCACTTCGGTTCTGATAGTAATCTGGAATGTAGAAATGATAGGACATTTGGGCAAACCCTCCCAACCAAGGAAAATTTATTTTGTGTAGGAACACACACAATACATTGAAGTATCTAGTGAAGCTTCAAACAAAAAGCAACAGAATGCTCTACTGTGAGGGTATTACAGCCTGTCCTCATCAACAAAGACCAGATGCTCATTAATCCAGTCACCAAACCCTCCTCCCCTCCCTGTTTATGAATGAAAAATAGTTTGCACATGATTCACAACTGATGACATTTGAACATTTCTCAAACACTACTTTGCTGATGACCTCTGTTCAAATTGCACCCTGTAAATATTTTAATCATGTACAGTACTTTAAATACAAATAATTGCCAACAGAACTTTAATAACCACCCTAACCAATGCCTAACTATACATAGAGCCTTAATATATAACAACAACAACTTATATATATGAGATTTTTTTTTAATAAACAGTATGAAAATTGATAAATGCATCTTGGAGGACGGGTTCCCCTTTAACAAGCCTGGCTTGAGGACAGGTTGGGGTATTAATTATAAAAATTACTTAATCTGATAACTCACCAAGGGGTCTAGAGGTTTCTCCATATGCAATCTTGGAATAATGTTAGGTGTTAACTGAGGAATAATGTTGGTTGTGTTAACTGAGGGAGGAGGTGGATGTTGAGGACGAGATGCTTAGGGTCCAGGGTTACATGGAGGAGCAACACTAGAAACTATGCCATCCCTGTAAACCAAAGAATGTTAAATATCGTTTACATTCGAGGGATTGGTATTGGCGCTTCTCTCTATGGACTGTAATTCTTTCAAAGTGCTTCTCTACTTCGGTCACGCTTCATCGTCATAAATCCATTCATCTATTTAATCCTCATGAGTGGCTGTGATCAATTAATTTCTTAGATATGGGGGACACTGTATTCTCTTAAAAAAGCAAGGCATTCATGTCTGTTGTATTTGCTCACTTATTCTCTTTGCACTAAATCCTTCAAAAGCTGTAACATTGTTGTCATATTTAGGATGCTTCAGCCATCCTTCAAAGTTGATTATTTGACCATTTCCCCATGCATGTGCCACACACTATACATCCAACTTTATATTAAATCTTCTCATTAATTCCTTGACACTACCCTTTTTTTGTATGGAGGCATCTGCCAAATTCAATTCTAAAGTGGTGTTTGAGATTCAAATTTATTCGATTCATGGGCTTGATCAATACTGTATAGTTGTGTTGAGTGGCAAGAATGTAACAAACATATTGCCCTTGACTAGCTTCATATAGAGATGTTGGGCTGTTATCAAGAAATAGCATCATTTTGCCTTTCTCTGGCAATCCAATATGTACTATTAAAGTGGCCCTTCACCTCGGATACAAAATTACCTTGAAACAAGCCAAAAAATATGGCTTTAGCAGTGACTCCAAACTAGTGGATCACAATGCCCCCCCCCCCTTGGAGGGTCTTTTGTGTATTAGAAAATAGGACAGTTCCAAAATGGTTGGGAACCACTACTATACACATTCTTGGACTTATAAATTACAAGGAGAAACTTTCTTCCCTTAGCCTTAGATTTATACTTTTTCCAGCCACAAACTATTTAAATTTTAGTTTGCCATCTGCATTTATATAGTAAATCACTCGCTCGCTCACTATGTACCTGTTATGTACCATCACTTTGACCCTTATGAGCATATGTACTGTATAACTTAAACTGGTGCCAGTACAGTACAAGCTCATTTCTTCAGCATCATAAGATTGCTTGGGAGATGAAGATTTGTTCTGCATAATTTCCTAAAATTTAGAAATATATTCACCTGTGCATTCTTCAGTTGACTGCTTTTTCATCTTGTACTTTCACACAATTACTATGACAAACATTAAAGAACAACACATTTGTTGTTGCCCCAGACAACACATTTTCTGTACTTAGTGAAGCCATGCTTCATATGTTTAGAGAAATTAAATGGTATGAGAGGCGAGATTCTTTATGGCTGTGGGTACATGAAAACACTAGGCTGGGTTGGGGTGGGGGGGTTAGGTTGCAATGCAACACTTTCAGTGGCAAGACCCCTATGTCAGAGTAGTTAATAAATGGAATGTACTAGGCAGTGAGTAGGTGGAAGCAGACTTCCTACACAGTTTCAAAGGTACGTATTATAGAGCCCAATAGGTTCATGAACCTATTGGGCTCAAGTGCCCTATTGAGCTGTCAATCAACACCAGTTGATTGATAATTCAGAGGCAGGACAAAAGAACCGAGACTCAACCTCAACAAGTACAAATGGGCGAAAACAACTAGACAAGTAGTGGCCAGCTGCCAAACCACATTGATTTCTTGTATGGTGAGGGTGGTGCTCGGTCGGACTCGCAAATGTATACTGTAGTTTGAATATCAGACATATGGAAGTTAAATGAAGGATGGCGAGTGTATACACACACATATGCACACACATACATGATATCTGTACCTTAAATCCCCTAAAGTGCAGCTATGGATATACACTACATACAGGACACATGTCAGCCTAGATGCAAAAAATATATAAAAATTATAAAAATATATTTTACTTACAAAATTATTAATTTGGACACAAAATTGAAAGAAAAGTGGAAATAAAGTAAATATCAACATTATTGTATTTACTTATTTGATGAGCTATAGAAGTTTGCCGGGTGGGAGGCCCAGTTGGATCTGTCGGTGCCAGACATGAAGTTAACTTATACAGTAAAATGTGGCAGATGACCCCAATGTTTACCTTCAATGTTTCTATAACAGTTTTTAACTTTGTAACTCATTCACTATAGTATTTTGGTGTTGAATAACTAGATTTAGGCATACAATGAATTAATGTATATATCAATGAATGAATGAGTGCCTCATATGGGCCACTATGCCTTCTGCAGCTCCGTTATTCTTGTGTTCATATAGTGGTTGGTTGACCTGGTGTATTACATTACAACCATATCAAACTGTCAAAACCATATGAACAGAATTGGTATACAGTGGTACCTCAGCTTACGAATTTAATCTGTTCCCTGAGACGGCTCATTAGTTGAATATTTGTAAACTGAAGCGAATTTCCCCCATAAGAATTAATGGAAATTGAATTAATCCATTCCAGACTCCCAAAAAAATTAACTTCAAAAGTAAATTTTACACTTAATTCACCCAAATCTTCGGTACTAAAATATGTACAAGTTATTACTTACCTTTACTGATGACTCTTGTTGGCGTATGGAAGACGGTGAGGAGGGGGGTGGGGGGGGGGGGGGAGGAGGAGGTGGTGTTAGTGTTTGGAAGGGGAATCCCTTTCCATTATAACATCAGGCATATAGAGAACATATACGGCACGCATAGACGCAATAAAGCACCTAAATTATTGGGATCGTCTCAAAGCCCTCCAAATGTACTCACTAGAAAGAAGACGAGAGAGATATCAAATAATATACACCTGGAAGATACTGGAGGGCCAAGTACCAAATCTACACAGTAAAATAACAACGTACTGGAGTGAACGACATGGAAGAAAATGTAGAATAGAACCAGTGAAGAGCAGAGGTGCCATAGGCACAATCAGAGAACACTGTATAAACATCAGAGGTTCGCGGTTGTTCAACGTCCTTCCAGCAAGCATAAGAAATATTGCCGGAACAACCGTGGACATTTTCAAGAGGAAACTAGATTTATTCCTCCAAGGAGTGCCGGACCAACCGGGCTGTGGTGGGTATGTGGGCCTGCGGGCCGCTCCAAGCAACAGCCTGGTGGACCAAACTCTCACAAATCGAGCCTGGCCTCGGGCCGGGCTTGGGGAGTAGAAGAACTCCCAGAACCCCATCAACCAGGTATCAACCAGGTATCAGGCAGTGATGACTTCTCTGGGGGTACACTCTCTGGTACGTTTTGCCTGCATACCACTAGGACCTGCTTATACTGCTTGCTTGTCTTGCTAAGAATCTGTCTAAAGACACTTGTTGTTCCCTACATTTTAACACTTGTCTGTAGTAAGACATCACATTGTTATCTAGAAGGTCAATGCAACGGCCTGCTGCAGCTTTATCTGGGCGAGTTTTTTCAACAAAACTTTGCAGTTCTTCCCATACTTCATACATTTTCTTAATGAGGAAGGGACATTCTCTACTGCCTCTACTCAACTATTTTCTTAGATTGAACCTTACCACTGACTTTTCTTGGGACCCATGGCAAGATACCTGTATATAATAATTACTTTTATGTTCGAATACCCAAAAATCCGAAAAAACACTGAAATTCTTTACAAAGAATTAGGGCACGATTGTCACTAGGCGGGAGCCACTGGTAAACTGAGGCGCGATTGCCGTGCCACCACGTGCTAGGTTGGCTATACGTCTATCAACAAACTCGTTTCCAAGGCAAAGCTCGTAACCCGATTCAAATTTTCCGAAGAAATTGGGCTCCTAACCCGAAAAGTTCATAAATAGGGGCATTCGTAAGCTGAGGTGTCACTGTTTATGTCATATAGTTATGTTGGAATGTCATTCCATGACAATTACTGCATTGGCACAGTAACATTTGTGACGATAACTGCATTTGTATAGTAAGCAATCATGAAATGATAGCAGAATTTTTCCCCTGGGTCAAGGTAAACTCCACAACATTTATACAGAATGTGTCCATATTAGCAGCATTGATATAAAAACCAGACTTAGTTCAAATCAACACACAATAACCCCCAAAATACTGTAAATCACCACATGGTGATAACTGCACTTTAAGGGTTATAGATAGTCAAACACAAAGTGCTTGAATTTATACTACACTTTAAAACACCATAATATTTTCATTGCAATTATAATTGTATGAATTTTCATGAATAAAATGCCATTATTATTAATATTAAAATAAACACAATTTGTACCAGATAGCTGCTGAAGGACCAGTTTTCACATTTTTGTTGATTTTTGTTTACCACCAATAAAGCTGTGAACTGGTCACAAAAATCTATTTACCATTTGCATGCAGTAGTGTGCGCGCGCTTGCAAACATTTTCATACATATTTCAAGGAAGAGTCACATCTTAAAATTGCACAATACTCACGCTCCTGAATACTGTTTACATTACGTACATATTCCGAGTTAACTTATTCAATATTTTGTGCAAATTTAATAATAATAATAATAATAATAATAATAATAATAATAATAATAATGATGTGGAAGGCCACCACCTAAAAATTCACATTTCAGTTGAAAACAAATGCACAATAAAGTCCAATTAAAATATAAACTATTGATGAATTTAATTTTAACTCATTAAATTAATATTTTAATAAATTATAATCTGCCAATCAGAAGTTTATGAATAAATAATTTATGAAATAATTGAAATGTATATAAAATATTACATTGTGTTTTCTCAATTGTACTGGCAATGTAACATATTTGTGGCCAAATCTGCCCATGAAAAAAAATACGACACTTGCATTTTAAAATCCCTTTGATTAAAATACCTATGGTCATTCATCTATATACAAATAAACACAAATTTCAACTTGACATTTAAAAAAATAATATAAAAGATTCATCCAGCCATTTGCTACATACATCATACAGCAATGGAGGAATATTAATTCAAGCATTATTAAAATATACACGAGCTTCTACCAAGTCATAAATTCTTTATAACTAGTCAAATAAATCGAGGAGCCTCTGTTTTCAAACCACGAGTTTAAATCAGCCTAACATTATCCTCTTCATCTTAAAATAACATACAACATTTTCTGTTATTAAAATTGTTGATGCCAGACATATGGTCCATCATTAATTAAAAACCAAATGGGATGGATTATTACACATTTGATGTAAGCTAAGCAGAAGGTTCAGGTGCACAAGAACATGGGCGGGGAGTGGCGGGAGCTGAACCAGACATGGCTGAACTTGGCGGTGGATTGGGTACCATCACCGGTCGGCCAGCAGAGAGGTCTGTCATTGCCTGATGTATGGCATGAAATGATGGGCGGTCATGAGGGCGCCGTTGCCAGCACCAGGTTAAAATTGCATATGCTTCAGGAGGACAGTGATCAGGGACAGAGAGGATACCGCCTTCCTTCAAGAAACACACGACCTGCTCGTGAGTCATCCCATAATATGGTTGTAATGCAAAAGAAAATATTTCCCATAAACAAACCCCAAAGGCCCACACATCACTTTCAACTGTGTATTTATTGTACAAGATACTTTCCAGAGGCATCCACCGAATAGGAATAGCATCACTGTCATCGCCTCGGTAGTAGTCGGCAATGTAAATCTTCTGAGAGAGACCAAAATCTGCTATCTTGACTGTCATATCTTCACCAATAAGACAATTTCTAGTTGCAAGATCTCGGTGAACAAACTTACGGTCTGAAAGATAAACCATGCCTGCAGCAATCTGTGTGGCAATCCACAGCATGTCCTTATATGTCAGTTTAGTGTCACTAAATGTGTCCCCATTAGAAGAGCGCACAATATAATTGGTGGGGGAACATGACCTAAGAAATTCATTGAGATCTCCTCGGCCCATGAACTCGAATAAAAGGCACATGGGACGTCCTAAAGCGCAAACACCCAGCAATCTTACGATATTTGGGTGATCAAACTCGGCAAGTATACATGCCTCACGTTCAAAATCTCCTAGCATGTCTTCGGATGCTTCTTCCTTCAATACTTTTACTGCTACCATTGTTAATTCTTCCCCAGGCACGAGTCCTGGTGCTTTGCCCTGAAATGTCAAATAATAATATTACATCAACAGTAAAGAAATATTTCAGCATTATTTACAACTACAGTATTTTAAAAGCAATTTAGAAACCTCTTAATTTTAAAAAATAACACGACGAATAATTTGTAATTTATATTTGGGTGGATATAAATAGTAGTTGCCTCATATGGGCCAATAGCCTTCTGCAGTTGCCTTCATTCTTATGTTCTTATGAGTTGATAATGCAAAATTAGGAGGAAAAGCTGCATCTAAGGATGACTGTACACGTAACCAAGATGACCTTGACAAGCAAATAAATAATGGTTTAGAGATGTGGAAATTGATTATTCCTCCAATATCTTTTTGTTGTGAAAACATGGTTGTCAGCTAAATGCTAGTCAGACAAGGAATAAATGACTACTAATGGAGTAATGTCATCAAGAAAGCTAGATAGAGTACGACCACTCATGGCTGACCATCGTGTGGTATAATAGCTGTCTTGTGGCTGGCCATGAAATTATACTAGGTGGGGAACCTTGATAACATTGGTATTGTACATAAAAGTAAGACCCTCACATATTGAGGGTCATAGTAATTTATGACCCTCAGAATCAAGTCATAAATTCTGCATAGAACTAAAATTATAGGTCCTGCTAGGATGTGTCAATGTTTGAAATTAGTCTCCTTGCATGTTAAACAACCTTTCCCAGAAGTTAGAGACAGAAGCTACCAGCTACTTGTCAAGCAAGCAGGAGATGTACAACTTAATGAAGCAAATTGCTGGGCTGTCTTGTTCATCAGGTTCTGTGCACGTATCTTCATATTCATGAGAGTTGTATTTCACATCCATGATTCACCATTTCATTGTTAACACACACTCTTCCATCCATCCCCACGCTAGACCCAGAAGTTACATCATGCCTTTTGTACCTTCTAGTCTGGCATTTGGCATTAACTGATCCAAAAACTGGGTCACATATTGCACTTGTGTTGGGGTCCTATATGTGGCTGTTGAAATCAATCTTCCACAGTCAGAGTGTGTGGTTTAATTCTTTCCCTTGATCTGTTGGGATGCTCAGTCTCATTGCCAATGCATCCAAGCCATCTGCAACTATGTCTTCAGTACTCGCCTAGTTGTGCTTGTGGGGGTTGAGCTCTGGCTCTTTGGTCCCGCCTCTCAACTGTCAATCAACCGGTGTATAGATTCCTGAGCCTACTGGGCTCTATCAAATCTACATTTGAAACTGTGTATGGAGTCAGCCTCCATCATATCACTACATAATGCATTCCATTTGTTAACTACTCTGACACTGAAAAAATTCTTTCTAATGCCTTTGTGGCTCATCTGGGTACTAAGTTTCCACCTGTGTCCCCTTGTTCGTGTTCCAGGGGGGCTGGAACCTAGGCTGTGCAATGGTAAGACTAAGATACCTGGGTAGGAAAGTTCACAATGGCTTACATGTCAAAAATTGTAATTAATTTATCAAAGTCCCTTTGCATGAGTTAATGGAGGTCACCTACAAATAATGTGGTGACAGTTAAGTTGTGGCAGAAGTTATAGAACATATGGGCTATGATTAAGCTGATAGAGTCTACATGCAGTTATTGAGTAAGTATGTAACACACTCGTGTTGACAGTCAAGCAGTAATGGACTGTCTGAAGATGATCATTTCTAGGTAATCTGTGCAATTTCTGGGTATCTATAAATTTGCTTTGTGTTACGGTGCCCTCTCCTATTTCTCCCCAGTGCCAGCGTTAAGAGTCATATCTACTTACCTTGCAGGTTCCCAAAGATGCAGGGAATCATTTGATATAGGAGGCAACTGAATAGATTACATATTTATGGAGAAATTGTTATTTATATGTTTTGCAGGTGAGGGGGGGGCTTACGCCCCCTTGCACATACAAAATGGCGACGTCTCTGTCGGGTTTGGCGCATAGACATGAGGGTGCCAGCAGGCTGGCGATTGGCTGTCCAAGGTCACGTGACGTGACTGACCAATCAGGGCCCACTGTGACATCACCGGGAGGCCTGGCTCAAGACTGGCAGGTCACTGTGCCAGCAGATTCACAGACCGTTGATGCGAGCAGAAGTGTGTGTCAGCGAGCTCTCAAGATTTTGAAAGCCTCGCGCAGTGTATTGAGCAGCCTTATGCAGTCTATCATCATCGCATAGGATTAGTGTACTCCTGGGGAGCATGAAGAAGCCGAGTTTAGTGGGCGAAAGAGTTCCAAGTACTCATGGCTGTCGGTCTGCAATCGGAGGTGAGCGGTGACACTGGGAGGGCGAGTGTGATGCCCTGCTCGCACTTCGTACCCCGCCCTGGTATGACGCGTGAGCTGCTGTGACAGGGCACACCTACTTAAGTTTCGGAAGGGAAACATCGTGTCTGGATTCATTAGAAAATGTCTTGGTGAAGGAGCGAGTGTGGTAGACGACATGCTCAGTGACCACTGGTTGGACAAGTGACCACTTGTAAGAACTGAATTCAGGGAATAGGTACGGCGATGAAGAGATTCTCCACGACGCCTGAGGACCTGTGACACGCAACTGGAATGCCGAGGAGCAACCTCGGAACCATGTACCTACTACCAACAGAGGACAGGCATTGATGGACAGGAATGTTTAAGGCAGATCATTATTTCCCTCCCATTGCTCCTTGATGATTAGGCTAGGTAGGCCCAGCATATATATATATTATATTAGTGTGCTTATTATTATGTTAGTATTAGTAGGCTGTAGGTCAGCCCAGTATTTCTACTACCTGGAGAAGACAGCGTGGGACGAGTGTGGCAGAGTTGGTGGGACGAGAGGTCTATCGTCGACGGAGCTGCCCCTCATTCCTAGAGAGGGTCCGAGTACCCCCTTTAAATTTGCCCAGCTATCCGAGTTGTCAGAGGCGGCGAGAGGAGAGCTGCCTACATTCTCCAGTTCATTTAATATATCCATATGCTTATTTCTTTACATGTTTATTGTAGATCTTAGTATAGTAAACTTTATATCATTTTTACTGATTTGTTTAAGTGCACCCCCAGCTCTCTTTGAGCATTATTTAAGTGATACTATATGCACCACACTATCATTAATATTATTAATATTGGAAATATCCTAGTGACTGGTAACACTCGAGTAACACTGATATTTATGGAAACGTGTCCTAGGCTGGTACTGAATTAACACTGTGATTGTGGCAACGTACTATTGTCTGGCGACACAGTTTAACCACTGAGCTGCATTGCTGGGATGCAGAGTTTCAAACCCAGCTGGCAACCTTATAAATAGTTGAGTGACACAGGGGTGTGACAGGTGACCCTTTGTTACAGTGGACAAAACTCAGAGGAAGTGCTGTAGCTGCATGAAGCAATGACTTGAAGTTAGTACAGAGTCTTTCTTCACTCTTCCGTGGATACTAGGCTGGATCGCAAGTAGCGGTTCCACCTATGGTTCGAATGTAGGGCTCCTGGGGCGATCAGTGGCATCCAAGTGAGTGGGAGCAAAGACCCGCGGCTTTGGTCATTGTGTGGTCGTCATTTCAGGTACAGTACCGACACAGACCAGTAGGCCTCTTAACACTTTGGTACAATGGAACAACATCTGTGATCCAGCAAGGAATACAAGAGTGCATTTACTAATGAATAGAAATAAACACATGGGAAATTAAGTGTGGTGGCCAGGTGTAATCAGCCGTACTAGTTATCAGTATAGTAACATGATACAAATATTGTGGTGCTAAATTGTATTGTAACAGAAGTTTGATTATATTCTATATTCTTCTTCTTAGACAATTTCCATGCAAGTTTATCTTCTCATCCTCCATCTCTCTTGCTCTCACCTACCTGGAACACTCGGCCAAAGGCACCTTGCCCTAGATCTCTGATGTAGATGATGCTGTTACGATCATACTGCAGTTTCTCCAGTTTTGGATTAAGCTGAGCACAGGTCTGGTGGTAGGCAGAGTTGCGTGGTAGCTTGCTCAGGTCTACCTCGGCTTCCTGGTAACAACAATGGAAAACTGAGTAAAACTACATACAAACACAGGATGGAGAAAATACCAAGACAAATCATAATGAAAACTGCAGTTAACCAAACATAAGACTTAAAGTTTAAATTAATCACAAATTACCAGTAGTCACACACATTTTTATAAATGAAATAAGACAAATTAATAGTTAAATATCTATATATAATAGGTACAAAAACATTAAAAGAAAGAAAAAGCTAAATGAGTATAAAAATAATTTACCTTCAAGCACAAAAATTTAATATTAAAAAAAAAAAATACTGATTGATCCCTGTGACTGATCTTACAATGGACAAAAAGGGGACGAAAATCTAAGAGCCGGGGCCCAAGCAGATTCCAAAGAGTGGATGAGCACCGCCTGTCAGCACACAAGGCGAGAAGCAAAGAACAGACACCGCCTCCTTCAGAATCAGCGCAAACCAACTTTAACACGGCAGCCGACGCCCAAGCCGCCGAGGCAAGCTCACTGGATGCTGGCCTGGAACCCAGCTCCCCCACATCCTCCTCAAGCCAGTCCGAAGACAGCTCCAGCAGGAAAAAGAAGCGCAAGACCGAAGTCAAATGCCCACGGGCGCACAAATCCTCAGCGACCAGGGATGCTGAAAGGGAGGGAACCCGATTGTGAAGCTGCACCTGGCTGACATCGTGAGGAAGTACAGGGGCAAACAAGCACGCATTGAGGTACTCCAACTCCCCCCCCCCCTCCCAGATAAAACTGAACAACCACAGTCAATGCCCGCCACTCAAGCGTGTGGGTCAGACAGAATGCATGCCATGCCTCCAATGAAAAGAAAAAGCCGTCTGCCAGCCAAAGACTTTGGCACCTCATAATGCACCTAGTAAGGAAAAAGAGGAACAAAACTCAAAAGATGAAGAATCCATCATCAAGGCATAGTCCGGGTCTCACAGGAGGTAAGCCGCAAGGGCCTCCCGCACCTCCCTAGGTGGGATGCGGGAAGCCAAAAACCTCCGGAAAGAGGGAACTGAGGAACTTGAAGGAACCCAGAACCGAATCCGGGGAGGAGCCGAATTCATATCAAACTCATACAGGGAGAGGGATACAAAAACTCCTCCCCCTGTAACAAGCAGCCCTGCGCAGAGGGTACCAACATCCAAGTAGGGTCAAACGGGGCCCAAGCCCCCCAAGTCAACTCCTCCCCAGCCCCCAAAGTCAACTCCTCCCCAGCCCCGGTTTTCAGGGCCCTTAAGCTGACTGCTAAAAAAAGCCCAGGCTTTTACTGTTAAAGAGCTACTGTAAACTGGTTATCTTAGAACTACCAAACAAACAAACAGAAAGCTGAACCCCTGCGACGTGTGTAATCACAGAAACCTAGCAAAGGGCCACTAAAATAATACAAGTGGTCCTACAGCCACACTAGGCAGACCCCCCACCAGGCAAAACAAAACAAAAAAGAAAAGAAACACCCCATAAAAGCACAACGTCTCCAGGAGGAGCAGAACCGGCCGCTATGCTTATTATAAGATGCCCAAGACAGCGATGATACTACCCCCTATCCAGGGCCAAAAAACCCAAGCTGACACCAAAGGCAGGCAATCACTGAGGAGCAAAAGAATCCTGCGGAGGTAGTCCCCGAACAGTTTGTGGAAGGTAACCCCAAACTGCAAGGGCAATACTTACAGGGCACCTAGGGAAGGTGACCCTAGGCACATGCAGCCCCAGTACTTCTGGAATTACACCTGGCTTGCACACCACCACAAGGCACAGCACTGCTCAAGAATTGGAGCCAGAGTCGATCGATCGCCACCCAACACAACAGCCTCAGTAGGCTAAGAACTCCATCGATTGACTGTTGCCACAGTCTAATATATATACTCATCAGCCCGGTATAGCTCCAGGGAGCCAGAGGGGCTCTTCACAGAAAACTTTGGTAATGCTGTAGTTAATACTGTATGAGATTTAAGCTAAGACATATGAATGGTTACAAAATTTTAGCAAATAATGTATAGTTTTCTAGTGATACTTAATGAAGACTGGCATGGATAACCTTAATTTAGAGTTTGTAGGTTTAAAATTAGATTAACTAAAACTAAAGTACAAATACTGTACAGTATTTAATATTGAAAATAAAAACAAATAAAAACTGTTTGAATTAGGATGAACTTGAGGAAGCTGCACAGTAGTGCATCAACCTCTCACAGACTTTCAAGAAGTGACAACCATATCATGAGAGAGAAGGAGCAGCAGACTAGCACTAAAATAACATTGGAATAGTTAGACTTATGTACTACAACAATAAGCATATCAAAAGAGCCCCCCCCCCCCCCCGAAAAAAAAAAAAATTCAACAATTAAAGTAATGAGGATGTAAAACATAACCCAGAAATCATAACAAAAATCTCCTTACTTGGTTGTTGGGTGATGAGTAACCTCGGCGGGAATGTACTAATTTGTGAATGAGCAGAGCACTCAGAGCCAAGAGGAGGACTCCTCCCAGCCCAGCACTTCCTGCAATTAATATCAGCCAGGGGCTTGGCAACAGTTTCTCGTGAATCTCTTCGTGTAGAAATATGCCACTATCTGCATCAGTGCCCTCACCTAGAAGATTACAAATATTGATAATAAAATAATAATGAATTTACTAAGGTTACACACACACACACACACACTCTGGTCTCTGCATAAAGCATTTAAACATACATTGGTCTGGTTCCCCATTGTCAGGGACAAGCAGAACGATAGACTGATCAAGTACTGTGCTCTTAGACCAATAACTGATCTTCCTCAGGATGCAACCCGTAATAAATAGTTGGCAAAAATCTGTATACCTATTTACTGCTTGGTTAACATAAACATCAGATGAAAGGAAATGTGCCCAAACATCTCTGACCTGTGACAGGAATCAAACCTTCGAGTTGTGAACAGACTATAAGTACAGTACTGATATTCTGTGAGTCAACTCTTGCAGAAAATGGGAATGACTGGAACCCCCTCTGTCGAGTTAGTGGACCATCAGTGTGCAATATAATTGAAACCAGATCACAGAGACCCATGGGAGAGTGATGCTCTGACGAGCCATCCAAACCACTGTAAACTCTTTTACCATGATATGTACAATCTTAATAAGGTTAACAATACCACAACCCCTTGTTGCTGTGGTAAGAGCTGGAGACAAATCCCCAACTGAAACCAGATGCACTGGTGAACAAATCAAATGAAGGAAGGAGAAGACACCATTGAACCGAATCTCAATAACTCAAAAATCCTCCATAAGGCCCAATGAGGCCACACAATGTCATTGTGATGGCAGCAAAATGATAAACAGCACAAAAGGCCATACAGTACAGTACAGTACAATGCTTTCGGCCAAATCTGATCCAATAGTAAGCCCACATAGGAGGAAGTTCAGGCAACAAAGAAGGCAATGTGGTCCCAATGGAAAAAAGGTGGTAACAGCATGAAATGGTCCTGCAATTGCAGCAAGGCTGGCTGTGAGAGAGGCCATTGTGGAGTCCCACACCAACCCCAGCCACCTCAATGCCCAGGAAGGAGTAACCAAGATTTTTGCAAGTTGATTAAGAACCCGAATTGTGCCAACTGAGTGAGCGCCACATTCCTTGCTAATTGTTCTGATGACTGGAAGCCCAAGCTACCCAAATGCTGAGATATGCCAGAACCTGAACCCTAGGAACCAGAAAATGGCAAAGCACTATCTGGGTACCTAAGGAAAAAACTCATAAGTGGTAGCAGACAGAGCCCACTTTGAATCGTAGCCAGTTCCTGAACTGTGCGTGAATTAGAACATGCCAGTAAGTATCCTGTGGATCCAGGGAAATGAGCCTAGACAAAGTATGTAAGTATTGAGAAAGTAGAGATTGAGGATAAGCTAAGGATCCAGAGAAACCTTCCTAAGAATCATAAACAGCCAGGATGTCACCCCAGAGAGACAGATCAACTGAAATCACCCCCATCCCCCTTGTCCAACAAATCTTAAATGACAGTTCAGAGGATAGACATAGATGGCTGGGACAAAATCAGGGGTACTTGGTGAGAAAAAGAATATCAAGCCCAATGAAGGCCTTATTTCCAATCCAGAATGCTCAAGCAATAGAAATGAGCCCATTTCTTCAAGGACAATAATAGATTGTCTACAACCAGAATCTAATATTGAACCTAGAATCTAATAATATAATTAGGAAGTGGCTTTGGAGGCAAACTTAAATGAACTTAGGTCCACTTCTATAGTAATATTTGGTTCCTGAGCATAAACTTCACAAAGTCAAACTGACACTCAATCATTCCCGATGATCTTTAACTCCAGCCATCACTTATCTTAAGGTTGGTAATCTCTAAAATGTGTATTACAAGCCTGCCTGCTGCATTCCTTAGGTCTTTTTAGCCTATTTCCATTCCAATTGTGTCTTGCTGTGTAAACAGCCTCGTCTAACTGCACATAATGTGCAGACTTTTGTTTTCTATACTGTAGTACTTGCTCTCTCACTCTTATTAGTGTATGTTTCATGTATTTCCATGTATTTCTCTTTTTTTCCTTTATTTTCTGTGTATTGTATCAGATACAGTACTTGTGCCGGTACCAAGTTCTCTCGCCATACTCGCAGAGACAGTCATTCTCACAAGGTTAAATACTGTAACTGATAATTTCTAATTGATTGAATAACCTGCTGCTCGTATAAATGTCTAAAAATTAAAATATATAATGCCAGCAAAGAAAATCCTACAGATATGGTATGCCACCATGTTGTATTGAATGAGGGAAGAAACACGTGCCTTAGCTATCTCTCAACATCAAGACAGGTAAAGTTTTGCTGAAACATAACCCACCATAAACTAAAAAATCAAGCACGTATAATTATTTGTAATATGATAAAGTTTCTTATATACTGTAATATGTTATTAATGCATCATTTTAATGTACAGTACAGGTATTTATGAAGCTAAGTTGCTGCACGTAAGTAACTACTGTAATTCATGTTTGATCTGAATCACGAGACGGTCTACCTATCATGATCTTGGTTGAGTTAGTAGGAGAATGAGGTTAGTGAGGGTTGAATTTGAGAGTGTACAGTGTTCATCATAACCCAACAGAGTTCATCATAACCCAACAGAGTTCTGACAGAAGAATATGTTACAGTATCAGTCTTGAACTAATAAACACTGAAACCTACACATCAGAACCATGACAAAACTGCAGCATTTTTGTACATTCTGGATCATTATTAAGACAATATACTGTATGTCATCACCATTCCAAGTCTCTATTTATTTAAAAAAACTCATATTCAGGGTCACGTAGAACAATTCTATGTGGCAATGTACTGTATGTCATCACCATTCCAAGTCTCCATTTATTTAAAAAACTTATATTCAGAGTCACTTAAAATAATGCTATGTTATCATACTATATAGAGCATCTTACCACACAGAGGAATGCTACAGTGTTGCCAACGGATTAAGGGGTCAGTCGTGTAGCACCATGGGTAGGGTTCCTCACCACCGGCATTCCTGCAGTAATTCTCAGCATTCTGCACCTCCGGGAACACATTTGGAGGCCGGTGGTGACTGTGTGGCTCCTGCGAGTCCCATCGCTGGCAGGGAATGCCATTACTGGTTACATTCCTGGTTCCAAAATACCATCGCCCACGTCCCTTCCTACAGTCATCTGGCAGAGAATGGCTAAATTAAATTATTTCAATTAACTTTTAACAAAATTGTATACTTACTATATTACAACACTGGATTAATGCAAATTAATTAATTAGAGAAAAGGTTTTTATATAGAGGACGTTACAGAGTTGTGTGGGCCACCAAGACTACAGTGTAGGAAGACACCGCATGGTAGGATGAGAATTTGAGAATGATTATTGATGAAAAAATTAAATGAAAGAAGTAGCATGATTGAAGCCTTATTAAGAGTGTTACCATTCATATCTAATACTGTCCACGCTCTATGAGCTGATTTCACTGGTCGAAATTACAATTTCAACCTGTCATATGAAGGCAACAACCAAGAGAACCTGTATATAAAGAGATTTAACCACGTCTAGCATATTTTCCATGCCCAAGCCTCAAAATCTAATTTTCAAAGGAAAATGGGCCCATACTTTACTGAACAAAAACTTCTGCAAGGAGAAATAAAAAAGAACCATAGAATTTGGTTTTAAATATGCTCAGTGGCTATTCCATGGCCTCTAACTTATTTCTTATAATGTTACCTCCATCTGTGAATTTGATCACAACATCCTAAGTAAATCCACACCCTGCTTCACCAAACTCTTGTTCGTTGAATTGGGCGAGTACTGTAATTCTGGCATAGAAAGTTTGTTCCAACTGGAGATTCGCTGAATTGAGATTCCACTGTTGCTTGACTTTTTTTACATCATAGGGAACAAAATGCATATGGGAGGCATGGAATTTCTAGTGTTTGAAAAGCTGAAGAATAATATTGCAAAATTGGAAAATACTGTATATTCAAAGAAATTTTCTCAACCTCAAAGACATTCACACATTTACAGAACTTACATGTAACCAGCTCATCATCAACAGACGTTAGACCAATGTGTGAACAAACACGACGGGAACCATCACCATGATTCTCTAGCGAGTCACAATTTGGCAGACGGAAGTGGCTTCGAGACTTAAAAATTCTATTTTCCTGTGAATGAAAATAGTAATAGGATTAATATTTCAATACATAACAGTATATGACAAAAATATATGCACATTTTATACAGTCATTAATACTGTTCACTCAAACCTAAACTAAGATAAATCTTTAGCTAATGTGGCAAGAACCAAAGTATATGGTGCAGTAGTCAGCACAATAGGTTTACAATGAAAAGGTCCCTAGTTCAATTCCTGCATTATACAGCATCATTATGAAGCCAACCATACCACCACATATTGCCTACAAGGAAAGTGTTGGATTATGCACTTCACCACTTGCTTCCAACAGCGATGGAGATGGATCCTCCTTAGAAAACTTATCATGCAAAGACTGTGTGCAAGTGAGTATGTGTGTGTGTGTGTGTAATTACGTAAATGTAGTTACAGGATGAGAGCTATGCTCGTGGTGTCCCGTCTACCCAGCACTCTGTCATATAACGCTTTGAAACTACTGACGGTCTTGGCCTCCACCACGTTCTCACTTAACTTGTTCCAACCATCTACCACTCTGTTTGCGAAAGTGAATTTTCTTATATTTCTTCAGCATCTCTGTTTAGTTAGTTTAAATGTATGACCTCTTGTACTTGAAGTTCCAGGTCTCAGGAAATCTTCCCTATCGATTTTATCAATTCCTATTAAAGAACTATTTTGTACATAGTGATCATAACACTTCTTTTTCTTCTGTCTTCTAGTTTTGGCATATTTAATGCCTCTAACCTCTCTTCGTAGTTCTTGCCCTTCAGTTCTGGGAGCCACTTAGTAGCATGTCTTTGCACCTTTTCCAGTTTGTTGATGTGCTTCTTAAGATATGGGCACCACACAACCATTGCACATTCTACCTTTGGCCTAACAAAAGTCGTGAAAACTTCACCCCCCAGAAGTGCCTCGAACCCAATTGTGGAACAATAGTAAGCATATCAAGGAAAACCTATTCAAGTACTTCAGGAAGACACAGCCTCGAGGATACACTATAGAGGCACAGTTGAGCCAGCCGAGGTGCTTTCTGAGGACTAATCGACTATGGGAAGCTAGTCGAGGGTGTGCAGTCTCTGGAAAGAAAATAGAGGTTGCCCTGATATCCCAAACTATTCCCAATTATGTCAGACTGTAGCTAGGATTTCAGTCCATTGATTAGAAAAGTGAACTTGCCCAGCACAGCCAATTATTAGTTTCTAGCCAGCAGCAAAAGAAAAAGATGGAGTCCAAATTAGCGTGTTGTGCCAAGATAATAAACCACCAACAGTAATAGCTCTCAGCCAACCAGCCGAGATCGATGAAAATCCTGGGCACTAACTTCAGCTCAAAACAGAGCCTAAAAGTGGTAGGTTTTATCGGCCATTAACTACAGCCAGTCCCTAAAGATCATATGAATGGGGGACATACCAATAGATGTCCGAGGTCCAGAGACACGAGCTAAGAGCGATACAAAATCACATGGAAAACCAGAGACATTAAAGTCATTTGAAAGGCTAGACAAACAAAGTGAGCATTGGCCCTCAACGAATCAATGATCATTCTTTTCTTAGACAAGTCATCCTTTAACACCAGAAAGTGCATGCAGAGACGGCTTACCCTGACCAAACTAATTCGAGAAATTGGCTCACCAAGAGCATCTACCCAATGCAGGAGACCATAAACTCCTCTCTCCTGAAGGGAGAAGCAGGCTTCAGTCAAAGCACCCAATTCATTGTACAAAAGGACTGCCAACTAACACTTACCACTGGCTGCATTTCCTCAGTGAAGTGCAGCAAGTGCAATGAAACCATCTCTCAAGATACGATGGAGACAGTGAGGGTCTGCTTTAGAAAGACCATGAAGATGAGGCAACTTAAGAACCCAAGACTGACAATACAGTTTAGCTACCATTTCTCCATAGAAAACAAAGAGAATGCAAACCTGCAAACCAAGAGAATGCAGGAACTCTGTGCTGTAGACATGGACTGAAACTTAAATATTTAAATATTTTGAAATACGTACAGTACTCTAATTTTCTATCTTTATTTTCCATTCGTACTGAGTTTATCCTTTAACCCTCGAATGGTTCATCCAAAGTCCTAGATTGTGATGTGCATAACAACAAAATGAATTTATTCACAAAACTATTACAAGTTTTATTCATAAAACAAATCACATTTGGTGATTTGAGCACCGAAGGTAATTACCGATATGGATTGAAGTTATTTAAGGGTTAAAATATGCATTATCTAACTTAGCTGCTGCCATACTAATGCAAAAAATTTGACTGCGAGAACTTTCTAAGTACCGAATGAGCATCACGTTACTAACAAAAAAGTAGAAAAGATAGGAAGTAGTAGCAATATGTGCAAACACACAGAAATCACATTAACATGATATATATAAATTAGAAAATCCACTAGGGCTGTGAGGTGCGGGGACCTACGACCCCGATATTGCCAGTACGCAACTGGTAATCCTGGGGTCCGTGTCCACATCATAGCCCTAGTGGATTTTTCTCAATATGTGCAATAATAAAATATTCTATTACTGTATAATAAATCAGCTCTTAAAAAATGTATTGTTTACCTGCTTATTCTGCTCTATTAGGAGCCATTCGTTGACACAAAATAGGCTACGCACAGCAACGCAGTCTTCATGGCAGAGGGGCAACCCCACTTGATAACCATCTTCTAATTGGCATTCTGGGAATGCATAATGGCAAAGAAGCTTCTGAAAAGACAAAATATAGTTATATTATTTTGTTCAATTAAAATATGTGTTTTGCAGATTTATCATTCACAAGGTATCATTCACTTGTGTGCACATGAATACAAGGAATTATAGGCATAACTAAGGACCATGTACACTAATTATACGAACCTTTTTTTTATATTTAGTGTTTAATTTTAATACCAAAATAAATTGAACCTTAAAACATAAGAAAAAATCATAATTAATTTTCAAAAGCGAATCTAGCATCAACACTTATTTTTGGATTTAAATCGGTGCACTATGACTTATCCAAGAATGATTTTGATATATAGTTTCACTCACAGCTATAATTTTGTAAAATATGTTAAAATAATCTTTTAAGAATCCATTAACAGTATCTCTGAGAAGGCCCTCAGTAGCTGCCAACTCACTGGGACTGCAAAGCCTTAGGGAACTGCACCAGGCCTCTCAAATTTACCTGAGCCTACAGGAAGTCAGGGTGGCCCTCTGAGGCAAAAAGGAATGGGGAGACCAGAGATCAACTCAAAATTGAGAAAGGACCCACTAGAAACTAAAGGCGTATTAAATCAAGCAACTGCTTAAAGTAAATTAGTAAACCTGAGGAAAATTAAGCAAACAATATTACAGCTGGAAAAATACTACAGCCATGATAAACCCTTCACTTATCTGCTGTGATAGGAATGCAATTAACGTCACATGAGCTCTTACATAAATGTTATTGTTTTATTTTACCTCTGCTGCAGTCCGGCACGGTTCACGAAAATTATCAATCATTTCACCCCAGAGTTCTCTTGTAATGTGCTCGTTCAGCCAGCCGCCTTTGTCAGTTGCAGTAATGTTGTACCACACTAGCCCTGCACCGGCGAGGTGTTGCCGGCATACTCTGCCATTGTATGGAGCACAGTACCCCAGGGGCCGCCGGACAGCTGCAATAATTCATATTAATTTTGATGCTGTATTTATATTCATAGTACAGTTATTACACATATTAAATACTTAGCCTAAACTGGTTTGGGTAAAAATATTCTACATTGATCTTGTTACCTGTTATCCAAAAATTATTGTACAAAAATTATTACTACTGACAAATGTACAAAATATGGACTGTTGCACAAGAGAAAAAAATAAAAAAAATGGGTGCTATTAATTTTGAAGAGGGTTGAAGAAATATAACAGCAACCAAGCCATAATCTTTCGTAGGCCCAGTATAGCACATACCATATACCGTATGTACTAAATTAGCGAAAAGATAGTGAATATTAGGCCTAGGACTGCTTACTAAGGCCTAAGACTGGTTAAACATATACTCTAATCACTCTTCCACTTGTCGGCATCCACACTGTCGTAGTCCAGCTGTATAAAATGCAAGCTGCTTTTAGGTACGACAGTCCAAATTTTGTACATTACTTGTATATCCATAGTAATTATAGGTACTGTAATATAAGTTTTGGAGGATGACTTCTATTTTCCATGTATCACTGAAGTAAACCAAACTCTGACAATTTAATCAAAGAAATGAAAACATACATGAAAATACACAATTATGAGAACTAACTTAGGCACGACATTACATACAAACCAAAATATCTCCATGATGTGCTACAATGCAAAATATAGCACACACTGTAACAGCAACTCCAGACACTTGCTACTTACGACCAACAGGGTGTAGTACGTGCTACTTACGACTAACAGAATGTATGTGCTACTGATGACCAACAGGGTGTACGTGCTACTTACGACCAACAGGGTGTATGTGCTACTGACAACCAACAGGGTGTACGTGCTACTTACGACCAACAGGGTGTATGTGCTACTGACAACCAACAGGGTGTATGTGCTACTTACGACCAACAGGGTGTACATGCTACTTACGACCAATAGGGTGTACATGCTACTTACGACCAACAGGGTGTATGTGCTACTGACAACCAACAGGGTGTATGTGCTACTTATGACCAACAGGGTGTATGTGCTACTTACGACCAACAGGGTGTACATGCTACTTACGACCAACGGGTTGTACTTGCTACTTACGACTAACAGGGTGTACTTGCTACTTACGACTAACAGGGTGTACGACGGAGACGGTGAACGTCCGCGAGTCCATGGTGCGGCTGCCCTGAACGACGTTGTTAGCGGAACAAGTGTAGTTGGAGGTGGCAGTGGCATTGACGGTCAGCACGGAGCGGGCATAGTCTGTGAACGGTGTGAACTCGATCCCATGCAACACCTGCCGGTTCAAGGTGGTGGTGGTGGCTTAAGATTCAGCTACTTGGAACACTTTAAGTTCCAAGTAGCACGGGCTATGGTGAACCCGTAGTGGATTTACCTGGCACAGGAGCGGCGGCTGTGACCTGTTTGTTCAAGGTCACACCAATTGGTATTCTATTCGATTTCCGTGAAAAAAGTACAGATAGTGTTGGAGAATAATGCAATATGACAAAGTGAAAAACTCACACTTGACGTAATTATCAATAATAAGTCACAAAACACACGGAGGCCACATATACTAATTATAATGGTCACAAAATACAATGAAATTATATATATATATTTTTAAATTGAGTTTGTCAGATAAAAGCCAAGACTGTACGGAAAGATTGATGATATCCTGAGGTGATAAAAAGAATTTTGCACCAAAATTGTAATTTTGTTAATTTGTCTGTATTTCTATGTTATTCTAGTTATAAAAGTATTTCTGTACGTTTGATATAATATTGCCTGCGCAAAGGAAGAAATGTGTATGTTTATCAGTGCTGAGTTATATGTTGTTAGTCCGGTATATGTATGTGTGAACACTTTGTACTGAACGGGGTGAGAATACCTGCAGCTGCCTCATCTCTTTGTGTACATATATATCCCCCAATAAACGTACTTCAAGTTCAACTCAATGGCTACTGTCAATTTTGACAGCTCTATTTTGATGTAGGAATCCTCGGGTGAGAACGTGCGTGGTTGTAAGGGGAGTCCAACAGGTGAGAACGTGAGTGATTGTAGGGGGTCCAACAGGTGAGAACTTGAGTGACTGTAGGGGGGGGGGGGGTCCAACAGGTGAGAACGTGAGTGATTGTAGGGGGGTCCAACAGGTGAGAACGTGAGTGACTGTAGGGGGTTCCAACAGGTGAGAACGTGAGTGACTGTAGGGGGGGGGGGGTCAACAGGTGAGAACGTGAGTGATTGTAGGGGGGTCCAACAGGTGAGAACGTGAGTGATTGTAGTGGGGGTCCAACAGGTGAGAACGTGAGTGACTGTAGGGGGGGGGGGTCAACAGGTGAGAACATGAGTGATTGTAGGGGGGTCCAACAGGTGAGAACGTGAGTGATTGTAGTGGGGGTCCAACAGGTGAGAACGTGAGTGATTGTAGGGGGGGTCCAACAGGTGAGAACGTGAGTGATTGTAGGGGGGTCCAACAGGTGAGAACGTAGTTGAAAAGTGGAGAATGTTACATAAAATGTTGAGACCTGGAGCCGGTCGGCCGAGCGGACAGCACGCTGGACTTGTGATCCTGTGGTCCCGGGTTCGATCCCAGGCGCCGGCGAGAAACAATGGGCAGAGTTTCTTTCACCCTATGCCCCTGTTACCTAGCAGTAAAATAGGTACCCGGGTGTTAGTTGCTTGATTAGTATGTTTATGGTATGTTTGATAAGTATGTTTATGGCTGGTAAGACTGAAATGAGGAAAACACTGTGGGTCAGCTTTAATGCTCGTACAGAAATGTCAGCGGAAAAATATATAATCGTCCAAAACTGAAAGAAAAATGGAGGTTTAGATGTGGATGACGAGGCTCCCAGAGCCTACTTACTTTGAAGTGAATGTTCTGTTGACAATAGGCTTTTGTAATGAGAGACGAACCCACTGATAACCATGATTTAAAGTTATTTGATTTCCGTATAAAGAAAACAAATAGTGGTGGTAAAATTTACGCAATAGAGTCTGTTGCTTTAAAGCGTGAACTCTTTATTTGAGGATTCCAACAGTAATTGAGAAATTCCTGTGAATTATATACCAACAAAATGTTTCCTGTTAAAAGTAAACCATTTTTTTTACACGAGCTAAACCGTTAATTATCCCCACACTAAAATGCAGTAAAGACTTAATTACAAAGTGTGGAGTAATATGTTGTTAGTGTTAATTAGTAAGAGAATGCAAGCAGGGGGTGGGTCCATACCCCCCCCCCCTCTCCCTCACAACAAATCAAAACAATAGGCTTTTCTGAACAAATCCGCAAGGGCCGTGACGAGGATTCGAACCTGCGTCCGGGAGCATCCCAGACACTGCCTTAAGCTCGATTGAGCTACGACAGGGTAAAAGGGTTGAAACCGAAGTTCTACTGAACTTACTGGATCCCAGTTTATAGCAGGTTCGAATCCTCGTCACGGCCCTTGTGGATTTGATGCATCGCGTTAGTGTGATCTCTGTGTGTGGAATAGGCTTTTCTATTATATTTTTGTGACATTGCTTTACAAGTGCCTCATATATCGCTTCTACGGATATGACGTACATGGAGCTAAGCTACTGGAGAGGCGTCTCTAAATCCATGTTAATACTGTTACAAGTCTTATGTTACAACCTAATGTTAAACTGTCCTTTTCTACTTTTATCAATTCCTTGAACATTTTTCATGTGGCAATCATGTCTCTCCTAACTCTACAGTCTTCCACCGACGTGAGGTTTAATTAACGTAGTGAGTGAGTGTGTGTGTGTGTGTGTGTGTGTGTGTGTGTGTGTGTGTGTGTGTGTGTGTGTGTGTGTGTGTGTTCTATAAGCCCAAACATTCAGACTTGACAACACACCTCAGGTATTCTTCGTGTCAAGCCGACACACCACCACACGGGAACACAAACAAAAAACTCAAGCCTAGCTACACAATATATTACACGGGGAGAGGCGTGGTAGTGAGAGGGAGAGAGAGGGAGAGAGGAGGGGGGCGTGGGGTGGGGGGGGGGGGGGGAGAAGGGGGGTACAAAGGCTCTACCTACAACGTAACACGGTAATAGGGAAAAGCCGCTTAGAGAGCAGGGATTATGGGAGGGATTAACTATCACCGATGAAACGCGGCCCATAACGGTACATTCTCCCCCGGGGTGGGGGTAGGGGGTGGGGTGCCGAGGGGGAGGGATAGGCCGGGGGGGGGGGTGCCGAGGGGAAGGGATAGGCCTGGGGGGCTGGGGGAGGGATAGACCAGGGGGGCTGGGGGAGGGATAGGCCAGGGGGGGGGGAGGGATAGGCTGGGGGAGGGATAGGCCAGGGGGGCTTGGGGAGGGATAGACCAGGGGGGCTGGGGGAGGGATAGACCAAGGGGGGGGCTGGGGGGGGATAGACCAGGGGGGCTGGGGGGAGGGATAGGCCAGGGGGGCTGGGGGGAGAAATAGACCAGGGGGGGCTGGGGGGAGGAGAGGATCAGCTAGGCTCTTGATGTAGTCGGATAATAAAGGATATATAAACACAGGATAATATATTCCAGTTCTAGACCAATCAGTAGCCTAACTTCATATTATAACAAATTGGTAAGGTTTTAATAAAACGTCTATCATAATGTTACATTTAATTGAAAGTAGTCAAGCCGTACACGTGCTGTTTGCATGTGTGTGCAACATGTATTCACCCAGTTGTGCTTGCGGGGGTTGAGCTCTGGCTCTTTGGTCCCGCCTCTCAACTGCCAATCAACTGTAACTAACTACTAACTAATTTTTTTCCCCACATACCCCCCCAGGAAGCAGCTCCGTAGCAGCTGTCTAAATCCCAGGTACCTATTTACTGCTAGGTAACAGGGGCATTCAGGGTGAAAGAAACTTTGCCCGTTTGTTTCTGCCTGGTCCGGGAATCGAACCCAGGCTACAGCATTACGAGTCCTGCGCGCTGTCCGCTCAGCTACCAGACCCCCTAGGTTCGGTTCGTGCGGTTCGACAGGAGTAGGGCATTACATTCATTCAGGGTTCGGCCTAGCTTCATGCAGGACGGCGTTCAATCCCCCGACCGTCCATAGGTATTGGGCACCATTCCTTCCCCACCGTCCCATCCAGAATCCTTATTCTGGCCTCTTCCCCGTGCTGTATAGTCGTAATGGCTTGGCACTTTCCCTCGATAGTTCCTTCGATAGCGAAGGCCCCTGCATTACCTTCGTCTGTGACATTTACCGAAAAAGTACATGACATTGTTAAACATTTACCATGACAAGGTAACAGTTGTCATGTCAAAAACAGACAAGGGGGCCAGATTCACGAAGCAGTTACGCAAGCACCTACGAACCTGTACATCTTTTCAGAATCTTTGGCGGCTTTGTTTACAATTATTAAGCAGTTAATGAGCTCCGAAGCACCAGGAGGCTGTTTATAACAATAATACCGGTTAATTGGGAAGTTTTCATGCTTGTAAACTGTTTAATAAATGTAACCAAAGCCGTCAAAGATTGAGGAAAGATGTAGAAGTTCGTAAGTACTTGCGTAAGTGCTTCGTGAATCTGGCCCCTGGGCTAGGTGGTCAAGGAGACCCACAGGACTCATCCCCAGAGCACGAAAGTCCGCCGGTCTCTCATCCTTTGGCCAGAAGTGTTTCCACAAGCCACACTCTCCTGCCTCCTGGGTCGTCCTGGCACGTAACCTTCCCCTCCTCCTCCTCCTCCCCTTCCACAGAACGAGAAGGTAGTGTTCCAAATGGAATTTCGGCATTGAAGGAGGTTGCCCACGGCAATGGGGCCCCGATTCCTACATTTTCCTTTCAGAGCGGGAGGCGCCGCGAGACGGATGTGTAATAACCTCAGGGATATCGCCGCCAGGCTGACGTTGGGGAAGCTTTCCAGTTGAGACAGAAGGCAAGACATGACCGCTCTGTATACACGAGACTCTTGTATGCTCAATGTTTCCATTCTGGCCGGCGTTGTCCCGAGCATCATAGTTATTCCTTAGAGCTCTGGGAGTGTGCTGGTCTTCGGGACCTCGTGCTGTGACAGCTTAAACTTGGTGACGAGTTGTTCTTTTACCTTCCAAACACAAGGGGCCAGATTAGTTTGTTGATAACTGTGTCCGCCAGCCCGCGGGCCCATATATATATATATCCATTACAACCCGGCTGATTTGGCACTTCAGGCAGAAATTTATGCGGTTGACTCTTGAAAACATCCACTTGAAGAGAAAATTGGAGAAATTCATGTAGTTGGTGCTGGTTGAGCCGGTAGCCCCGGGATCATGTCTGCCCCTTACCGAGGTTCTACAGATATATCTGATGAGACTGTGTTTACATTTCTTTGGATTTTTTTTTAATCAAAGGTGAAGTTAGACGAGGCTATGCTTTCTGGTATATTTATGGCGCTCAACCCTGATGAGCTGAAGAGCAACAAAGCTTTCCCAAAGTCGCCAGTAGCTTCTATATTGTCATTTACCTTTTTAAAAAAGTATGAATATGTCAGTTTGAAGGTTTCTTTAAGGATTGAGATATTATGTATTTTATTAGTCGTAATGGCTTGGCACTTTTCCCCTGATAATTCCCTCCCTCCCCTCAACCGCGTACGAAACCTGTACATCTTTCCTTAATCAAAGCAACTTTGTTTGAAATTATTAAACATAGTTGCTTCAAAACTACATATCCCAAGGTTATTAGTATTATAATCACCCTCGTACTGCTTCGCAGCTCATGAACTGCTCAATAAATGTAAACAAAATCGCCAAGATTAAGAAATGATGTACAGGTTTCGTAAATTATTGCATATATGTTTGAGGAATCTTAGAGCCAGTAAATGTGGACAGGAAAACGCCTGTACTCACCTAATTGTGCTTGCGGGGGTTGAGCTTTAGCTCTCTGGTGCCTTAGCTCTGCCCACACGAGAGCAGAGTTCCCCTCTACTGTACACCCAGACCAAACAAATAACATTTGTACAAATATAATGAGACTGAAGCATAGAAAAAGTTACATTGTCCCTCGGGAATAAAATAACCCCTGGGGGGGGGGGGGGGGTATTAGAAGTGGAGGGGTCGACCCGGGGACTCGCCGGTGTATTCTGAGAGTAAGTGAAATGCGGCCGGGTAAGGCCGTAGAGTTTCTTTAGCCAGACTTAAAAATTTGTACTTACTGACTCCCAACGACCTGAAAGTACTAGTATAAAAAGCTATGATTTGTTCAGATCTGAAACCTATATCTATGGGCAGCACAAAACGTCCACCAGACTGTGCGACACAGTGGTTGCCAGGATCAGGTTGGGTTACCGTTACCTGTGGCAGGTGGCTACAGGTGACGGGTCTCCCAATCCTGAGCACTCCAGTTGCAAACTCTGTGAGCAGGAACTACGGCATAATCTCCCGCACTACATCACTGAATGTCCAGTTATTATTAGACCTTTCAGACCAGTTGGCATGAGGTACCTGGAGCTTTGCAATTACTTTATTCACTCTCGTGTTCTTGAAGATATCCTCACAGTATACCCAAAATTTGCCAGTGCAGGCTATTAAACACATGGCTCTGTATGACTAACCATCCTGCGAGATGGGGACTTGTATTACCACTGCTGCCTTATTCACTCTTGTGTTGATGATATCCTCAAAATGCATCCGGAGTCTGCCAGTGCAGACCGCTTATCACATGCTTCTGCATGACTAACCATCCTGTGTGATGGGGATTTTTTAGCATCACCTAGTTAGCTTTTTTTTTTTTGACACACTGTACTCCACTTCATATAGTCCAGGGTAGCTGCACTAATGCAGATGTACCTCATATATTAATGAAGAAAAAAAGTGACAATCCACACATAAATAATGGTTAGGAAGCGTGAAGCTGGACAGGTTGGGCTCTTACCTCATTCTTCCATTCGTACATTGGCAGCTGGGAAGAGAAGGAGAGAGTTAATTAGTACCAGGAGTTACTGCCCGGAGCCACAGCTGGCTCATAATACTATCTTATACCTCGTCACGCCTCCCCTATACTCACCATCGTCACTATGGCGCCCACTCCGCTACCACCACCACCCAACAATCCCCCCACCACCCCACAGCCACCCCCAAATCCCCCACCCCCCACTGCCACCTCCAAAACTCCTACACATTAAACAAAAAACACCTTCACCCCCACTACCCTCACACACACATTCACCCTCATCCTCTCTCCACCTCCACGACGCACACACATGCAACACAAGCCCCAATCTCACCCCCCCTCCCTCTACACTACCAACCCCTGCGACAAACCCCGTCCCAGAGGCTTATCATGTATCAAGATCGTATCCCAGCTCACCTTTTTCAAAACGGATCGCATTTTATATGACCCAAATTACATGATCAAACGAGTTATTATGTCCTGCATAAAGTATCGCCATCTACACTATTGTTTGTTCATGCCATGTGTGCCGAGTGACGGATAGGGGAATTAGAGTGTCATGGTGTTCAATCCCAGCCCCATTAAAGAAAAAAATAGATTAATGAGTTGTCATTTTCTTCCAGCAGAGAAGAAAATGAGCATAAAGAACACGTGTTAAATTCCACAGAACTGCCTCCCACGTATGTCTAATCCCACCCCCATTCTCCCACGTTGATAGGGAGTCAGCCATGCCATGCCCAATCCCCATCCCTTCCCCCATATTTAGCATTATTATTATTGACGTTAGAGAAACCCTTACTTTACAATCCCACCGCAGAAAGCTGCACAATATGACTCCCAATCACAGCATTTGACAACTTGTCAACAAAGACATTGAGGTGACAGCACCTCTAAGATCCCCCTCTGAGATCAACGCCCAGACCAGCCACCCCCAACCTTCTCCCCTTCTAGGCTCAGTGCCTGGAGTATTAGAGCCATTCCCCCGAGGTGTGCCACACGGAGTCATACAGCCATGGGGTATACAGCAGTATTAACACACAAGACAAGGCCACGTACCGGTTCTCCGTCCCTGAACCACTCGATCTCCGGCAGCGGGTCTCCGAGGGCTACACACTGCATCAGGAGAGTGGTGCCGTAGTTGATGCTGTAGCCGCCAGGGTATTCTGAGATGTGCGTCTCGGCTGTAAACAAAACAAATAGTCACTATATCCCTTCCAAAATCATTCGTGCACAATAATCCATAACACATATGTATACACATCTAATACAAGACTGAAATTCTATACAAAACATCAAGGTAAAATGTATCCGAATAGAGAATTATAGATCATAAGGCTCAATGTTGACGGAGACAAAGCGACCAAAAACAGCGGTTGACAACAAAACGGGATCCACATATCCAGTGCTGCCTTTGATGTCCTATCAAATAGAAAACGGTATTTTTTTGTTTAATTTAGGATGAATAACTTGTCGAACAAGAACAAACATTCAGTATTTACATCGATATGAAGAGAATAACATTGAGATAAATATATTCATTATTCAAAATCAAACACAAGGGCTCAGAGAAGCATTTCATCTTGGGATTTTAAAAGCTTCACAAAAAACTTTCAAATAGTTTATTAAATATGCTGAAATATGATACATTTTTATCTCTAGTACACAAGTAATGAAATTTAAAAGTTGTTCTAATACAGGGCGGCTCTGTAGCGTCGTGGCTGGTGGCTACTGTAATCTTCTGTAAGCTTCATCTCCCCCTCCCTGACAGGGGCCTGACAGCTGAGTGGACAGCGCTTCGGTTTCGTAGTTCTGAGGTTCTGGGTTCGATCCCCGGTAGAGGCGTAAAAACAAATGGGCAGGGTTTCTTTCATTCTGATACCTAGCAGTAAATAGGTACCTGGGAGTTTGACAGCTGCTGCAGGCTGCTTCTTAGGGGTCTTAGGGGGAGGGGGGGGGGTTGTAACAAAAAGAAGGCCTGGTCGAGGACCGGGCTTCTCGAAGTCCAGAAATCATCTCAAGATAACCTCAAGAAAACCTCCCCGCTTAACTACCCAACACCTTGGATGGTTTGTTAGACGAGGGTCCAACCATGCAACCCCTCAATCTTCCTCCCCTTCTCCTTCCCCCCCATCTCACCTCCGACCCCAACACACACACACAGTTACAGTAATGTAATGAAGATAGGGGTAGGAAGCAGGAGACCAGATACAATGTATCACTTGGGAGATGAAATACCTCAAGAGTCAGAGAGAGAGAAAGACCTGGGGGGTTGATATCACGCCAGACCTGTCCCCTGAAGCTCATATCAAGAGGAAAACATCAGCGGCATGTGCCAGGTTGGCTAACATAAGAACGGCCTTTAGAAAGTTGTGTAAGGAATCTTTCAGAACATTATATACCACATATGTCAGACCAATCCTGGAGTATGCGGCTCCAGCATGGAGTCCATATCTAGTCACGCATAAGACTAAACTGGAAAAGGTTCAAAGGTTTGCCACCAGACCCGAACTAAGGGGTATGAGCTACGAGGAGAGACTACGGGAATTAAACCTCACGTCACTGGGAGACAGAAGAGTTAGAGGGGACATGATCACCACATACAAGATTCTCAAAGGAATTGATAGGGTAGATAAGGGCAGACTATTTAACACAAGGGGCACATGCACAAGGGGACATAGGTGGAAACTGAGTGCCCAAATGAGCCACAGGGACGTTAGAAAGAATTTTTTCAGTGTCAGAGTAACAGACAAATGGAATGCATTAGGCAGTAATGTGGTGGAGGCTGACTCCATACACAGCTTCAAGTGTAGATATGATAGAGCCCAATAGGCTCAGTAACCGGTATACCAGTTGATTGACAGTTGAGAGGCGGGACCAAAGAGCCAGAGCTCAACCCCCGCAAGCACAACTAGGCAAGTACACACGAGCCTCCCTTGTCTCTCACCAGTTGAAACTAATACCAATTTCCAGTGTAAACCTAGTGCCACCTTGGGCACAACACACACACTACCTGCAATTACAGGAGTAAACTGGTTATGTTAAGGCACACCCGCGGCGGGTGAGCGCCTCTGCTACTCTCTCGGGCTGTGAAACGTCACAATGCGAGATCCAACAGCCTGGTTCACCATAACACCAGTCAGCGGTCCTGGTCAGAAACAGGGCTGCGGGGGTATGGATCCTCGAAACTACCACCTGACCTTACCATGCGCTTGTGTTGGCTCTGAGGGTCAATGTCTCCTCCGTCCGGTCTTTGACCAGCCCTCCTGGTTGGTGATCTGGTCAACCAGACTGTTATGGACTCAGCTGACCGCGGTGTGGTTAATCAGGTATCCTTAGGTCGTTATCAAGTTCTATCTTGAACACTGTGAGGGGTCGGTCAGTTATGTCCCTTATGTGTAGTGGAAGCGTGTTGAACAGTCTCGGGCCTCTGATGTTGATAGTTCTCTCTTGAACACTGTGAGGGGTCGGTCAGTTATGCCCCTTATGTGTAGTGGAAGCGTGTTGAACAGTCTCGGGTCTCTGATGTTGATAGTTCTCTCTCAGCGTACCTATTGCACCTCTGCTCTTCACATCCTGCCATGCCCTCTGGTCTCATATGATGTTATTTCCGTGTCCACATATGGAACTATGCAGTCCCCTCCCCTCACATTTTCAAAGTGAAAATTATTATGTATCTCTGCCACGTGTGTTCTAGGGAATACAGATTTAAACATTTCAAGCGGTCCCAATAATTTAGATATTTTATTGAGTGGAATTTATTAATCACCCCATCGTCACCTCCCCCCCCCCACACAACATGGCACTGGCACTATGCGGGGGATCCCACAGTGCCAGCAGCACCCCCCCCCTCCTGCAGTACCAGTAACACCCCCTACAGTAAGGTCTCACGCCTGCTCCGCCTCCCACTAGATATTTCATGGGGGCGCGCTGTTCACGGTCTGGGACACGGGGTTTATCCATAAGACACCCACCCACCCACCTCCACGCCCACCTACCCACCTCCACGCCCACCCACCCCCACCTCCACGCCCACCCATCCACCTCCACGCCCACCCCTACCCACCTCCACGCCCACCCACCCACCTCCACGCCCACCCACCCACCTCCACGCCCACCCACCTACCCACACGGGTTTGGTCACACAGGGCCTCGTTATCTATGCTCTTACACTGCTCACCTTGGACTAACCAAGCTAAGCCCACCTGTCAAGTTATCCCAAGCTCAACCCCACCCAACGATATATACAATTTTACAACTTAGAATAGAGAGAATGGGAGACGCTAGTGTGTCACCTGACCACACCAGGAGTCAGGTTGGGGAGGTTGTCTGAGGCACTAGCGAGTTACAGGGAGTGGAGGTGCTGCTACACTGCATGGTGGGTGAGTTACAGGGAGTGGAGGTGCTGCTACACTCCGTGTATATATGGTGTGTAGCATTCTAATATTCTGATATACGCTCAGATGTACATGTATGTGTATGTGTGTGTGTGTGTGTGTGTGTGTGTGTGTGTGTGTGTGTGTGTGTGTGTGTGTGTGTGTCAATTTTCTGGTCTGTTCGTCGTCTTGGAATTACGTATTGTGGGTCTTGGATTGTCTTCAAGTTGATCCAAGCTCTTGGGCCCCAGATGTGGGCGTGGGACGAACAAGCGACCTTCTCACCCATTCACCCATGAGTTTAGGAAAGGGGGTGGGGGTGGGGGGTTTGGGGGGGGGATACCCCTCCCCTGCACCCACCTAGCAGCAAACACCCCCCCCTCCCCCCTGCCATCCCCCCCCTTCTCCCTAGCCCCCACCAATCCCAGCTGGCCATGACGAAGACTAGTGGTAAATTTACTGCTAATTGGCAGACATTACTGAGGTGATGGGAGGGGGAGGGGGGGGGAGGGTCAACCCTCTAACCCATCCAGACACAGTCAATGCTAGCTACTCCCCCCTGCCCCCACACACACCCACACACACATCCACACCACACCCACACACCCCCACCACGTTTCCTGCCCGTATCAAACACCCATCAGACAACTCTCCACTCGATCAACCACTTCATTATTTGATATCGTCACTACTAAACACCGAAACCTTCAAGATGTCATCATATTATTCGATAACGTCAACGTTACCGGATGGTTCTGAGCGGCGGTGTCCGTCACTCTCACCACGAATACTTCAACTCCGCTGCTCGGCTGTTGTTTCCATCCCGAATCTCCATGGATATTTGTATCCAAGAAGGATTCTTGCTATTACTGATTCTCTCCCGCGTCCTCCTCCTCTTCGTCCATATTGATTAGGATTGCCAGCTGCAACCGCATTGTACCAGCGTACAGATTCACTGGTTTGTGCTTCTATCCTCCTTTCCTCTGTTACCTTGTCACGGTGATGTTGCCTGACAATACCTCTAATTTGTAGAAGTCTTAGGTATGAAGTATTCAATATGGTCTCCTTCAGCGCCTTCAGCAGCCAGCACATCTGCTCGTTCATATCCACAGAGGCCAACATGGGAGGGGATCCACGGGAATTCGACGACTCTTCCCTGATTGGTTAGTACTCCCACAGCTCTCTTGATTTTAGAATCTCTCGCAATGTTTTCTGCTCGAGCTTGATTAAGGCTTTATAATGCTGCTTTTGAACCAGTGCAGATCACTGCACCATTAGTATTTTTTTCAAGGAATCTTAATGCCATAACAATGGCAGTTAGTTCTGCTTGCGTTGAAGAGGCAAAATTCTCAATACCTGCATTTTCTTCACTTGCTTTTTGAATGGCATTATTCCCAATTACCGTGTATGCTGCACCAGCCCTGCCATTGGCCGGATTAGATAACGCATCAGAGTAGATTTGATCTTATTCATTCCTGGTTGATACCTGGTTGATGGGGTTCTGGGAGTTCTTCTACTCCCCAAGCCCGGCCCGAGGCCAGACTTGACTTGTGAGAGTTTGGTCCACTAGGCTGTTGCTTGGGGCGGCCCGCAGGCCCACATACCCACCACAGCCCGGTTGGTCCGGCACTCCTTGCAGGAATAAATCTACTTTCCTCTTGAAGATGTTCCTCTTGAAGATTCCCTGTTTCTTTATAAATTTTCTTAAGATACTTATGCCTCATTTCTTGTGGTATCATGATGGAATTTTCCATTGTCATCTCGTTGATGATGATCTTGTATGAGTCCTCCTCCCAGGGAGGTAACCT